TTGACAAGTGCCCGTCAAAATATACACGGAGCTTTATGACCAGACTGCAATCATAAAGTTGGTTGGTTGGTTTTGTTTGGGGACCAAACCTGGCTCTATTCAAGGCTTCCTTCTCATTTTAGAGTCATTCCTGTTGATGCTCAGGGGACCATAGGCAGCACCAGGGAGTGAACAAGGGTCTGACACATTCAAAGCAAAACTCCTTCCCCTGCACAATTTCTCCACCCCTAACCATAGCTTTGTAAAAAAAAAATGCATATTTTATACCTTATAACGGTCATGGTCACGGTCCTCCCGTTGTTCATCGATTTGCTGGAGCGGGCCCAGCAACATCTCCATTGGAGACTTTGTTGTTACTGTGTTTGGCATATCAAATACGTCACGGGGAGCTTGCCAGGCTCTGCCATGCGGGTGAGATACTCTCGGTAGCTTGCCGGGCTCTCCGAGAGGGGTGGAGGAATCGAACTCAGGTCGGCCATGTTGGCTGCGTGCAAGGCAAATGCCCTACCACTGTGCTATGGTTTTTAAAATCAAATAGAATTCATCTTATAAGTTAAATACTTTCGTTATTTGACTATTTCAGGTGCCCTTGGACTATCACTATATGTAGAACATTTTAATAGGATTTTTTTCACCATGGAATTTTGTATTTCTATGATATAAAATAAGTTTTCTGGGGAAGGCGGGGCAGGGGAATTTATCACTTGCCCAAACAGAGCCCCAGAAGCCAAAAACTTCCAGAACCCAATCACCACCATGCTCAAGGTTTCCACAGGCTTACCATGAGCCTCACTCAGGAATGAATCTGTTGAAAAACTCAAGTATGTGTGGGTTTTGTGAGTGAAATCTCCAGGCTCTCATGGAGTTGGGGATGGGTGACCTCCCCCCCACCCCCTTTCTTTCAGGAGCTGGCAGTCATGCCATGAATTGTTTCTGGCGCCACATAAGCACATTAACTGGCCATGATCCAGAGACTCACAAATACATCTCAGGAGAGAGAAACAAGCTGCCTCCAGACTCCAAAGTCACCATCCAGTTAAAAATTTAACGCTAGCTGTACCACCCTATTAAAAATTTTAGAATTCCTGGAGTGACATCTCATAACCTACATGACTAATGTACCAGGAATAGCACATCACACTGGATGGAATGTAAAGTGGAAGGAAACCAATATCACTAAAAAACAATAAAAATAAATTAAAAATATTTATATATATATAAGCACACAAGGTTCAACCTGTAACATGTTAGTAATCTCTTATAAAAGAGTTTTAATGGCTTCAAGGTGAGATACAACAATCTTCACATACTTTTTTCTAAGAAAATCTTTTTAAATCATTCTTAGTGAATTATTCACAACAACCACTGTCACTGTCACTGTCCCTGTCTTCCCATTGTTCATCGATTTGCTCGAGCAGGCCCAGTAATGTCTCCATTGTGACACTTGTTACTGTGTTTGGCATATCAAATACGTCACAGGTAGCTTGCCAGGTTTTGCCGTGTAGGCGAGATACTCTCGGTAGCTTGCTAGGCTCTCTGAGAGGGGTGGAGGAATCAAACCTGGGTCGGCCAAGTCGGCTGTGTGCAAGGCAAATGCCCTACCTGCTGTGCTATCGTTCCAACCCCATTACAAGCAATATAAAATAAATTTTTTAGGGCCTACTACTGGGCAGGTTTGGATGATGGTTGGAAAAATTCAAAATAATGGTGGTGGTAAGATGTGATGGTGGTAGAATTGGTGTTAGAATATTGAATGTAATAAGCGAGTGTGAACAACTTTGTAAGAATAAAATAAAATTTAATAAATAAAAACCAGGTCAAATAATTCTTGAAAAAACCTAACTTATGCATAAAGCAAGATATGATTGGCATAGCTTTATTCATTATTGTTTGGGGTTTTTTTCTTTTTTTTTTGTTTTGGTGCTTGACTCAGGACTTAAAGACTGCAGCAGTGATGGTGTCAGACATTGGAAAACCCCCAAGTTCTACAGTGTGGCCTTGATTGCACATTGTTCTGTTCTCTAACGGGCATCCCAGAAGCCCATGGGGCATTGTTACAGGAAGTCCCCCGCCTTTTTTAGGGCCTCCCCAGAGTCTCCGAGAAGGGCCAGTCCCTGCCCAGTACCACATGGGGCCCACAGACCATTGCTCTCATGTAAATTATGTGATACAATTTGTTTTTCATCTTTGCCTTAATACTTATGTTTTGGTTCTGTTTTATTTGGGGTGGTCAGCACTGTGGCCTCTTTTTGTCCCCCAACTTGGATAAAGGCTTTGGTCCCCTGGAGGACAGGGTGGAGGCCAGCACTCAGGGTCCCTGTACACAGCAAGATCAGTTCAGTAAAGTGCATCTGAAGAAAAGAAAATAATTTTTAGAAGAACATCAAATATTCTGCTATTAAAATTCTCACTATACTTTTAATATCCAGCAATTTCTTTTTAAGCTGAGTGGTTAAAGGATAATAGCATGACTTGATGCTTTGTACTGGAAAAGAATATTTTAAGTTCTGACTGCCTTACTGAGGGTTGTTTTATAAAATACTCTGGTGAAGATAAGAATTGGTTGGGTCTTTATACATTAGACCATAAGAAACAAATTGTGAAGAATATTTTAGTTTGTTTGTTTGCTTTAGGTAGACCAAGGTACCAAAACCTAGTTGACTTAAGGAAAAGAAAAACATGTATTGTAACTCAGAATCTGAAATATAAATAATAGTATGATGAAGTACAATAATAAATAAAAGGGTCACTGTCACTGTCCTCCCATTGTTCATTGATTTGCTTGAGTGGGCACATCACGGGGAGCTTGCCAGGCTCTGCTGTGAGGGCGGAAAACTCTCAGTAGCTTGTCGAGCTCTCCAAGACTAAATCTGTATATTTAAATAGCTATGCATCAATACCAACACACACAAAAAGACTATTTTAGCTATAAAAATTTTTAAACAACCTTCACATGAGCCACAAAACAACAGTCTGGAGCAGAGAAATTTAGACAATAAAGTAAAAATATGGCAATAACTGTGAGTGAAAACTATCCTAATAAAAAGAATCAAATAGAAAAAGAAACAGCTGAAATAGACATATGATATAACTGTCATTAATACATACAACATAAAACAGATTCATCCAAATGCATGAAATAATTATTAACAAACCTCAGGGAATACGCTGATAGGTTCATAATACTAGAAGGGAATAGCAACACCACTGACAGCAGTGGACACATCACTATGACAAAAATTTTAAAGAAAATAATAACTTTAAATGAAGTAGTTGATGAGATGAACTTCATAGAACAATAAAGAAATTTCCCTCCCAAAGGAAATAAATATGTATTATCCTAATTGCAATGGGACATTCTCAAGAATAAATGAAATATTGAAACACAAAAGTCTTAATAAACACATATACAATGAAATCATATCAAGCATCCTTCCAACCACAATCTTATAGATAAAAAATAGTATCAAAAATAAAAAGGGAAAAACCTCAACTATGTGGAGACTTAATAACAGACTTCTGAGTAATTCATGCATTAAGGAAGATCTCAAAAGAAAAATTTTAAATTACCTGAAGAACAACAGAAAAAAAAAGAGACAAATTATCAGATCCAATGGTATGCATAAAGCCTAGGAATTGGGGAGCAATATTTGTATATCATATATCTGACAAGGTATGATATTCAAAATTTATGAATAATTCACTCAACAAAAAAGCACCCAAAACAAATAAAGTGGGGGGGGGGGGGGGACAAATACCTGAACGAACACTTCTACAAGGAAAACAGACGATGCACAAAAACAGGAATAAAAAGTTCAACATCACTTATTTTCAGAGAAATACAAAGTAAAACCACAATGGGATAAGATCCCAGCAGAAATTCTGTATTGCTCAGAACACCAGGTCTGCAAGAGTCTTGTCCTGAATTCAAATCTTCAGCGTCCCACATGTGCTGTGCTCAATCCTGGCAGCTCTGCTGTTTGGGCCTGGAAACTGGAGTCTGTGATTCCCCAGCACCACAAATGATTCCTGGAGGAAGGGAGGGAAGGAGGGAGAGAAAAAGAGGGAGGGAAAGAGTGAGAGGAAAGAAGGAGGGAGAGGAAGGAAGGAGGGAGAGGAAGGAAGGAGAGAGAGGAAGGAAGGAGAGAGAGGAGGAAAGGAAGGGAGGGAGAGAGGGAGGGAGAGAGGGAGGGAGGGAGGGAGGGAGGGAGGAGAAAGGGAGGGATCTGCCAATCTCCAGAATTGTAAGAAAACATATTTCTGTATTTCCATCATTCACTCTGGCACTTTGTGATAGCATCCCTAACATAATAATTACTCTTTTTGCCTAAATCTACAATGACCATTGTGAACTTGTGATGAATATTTAGGATACTGGGGATGGGAAGAAAGTTCTCATTTTTTATTATTTTCTAAGAAAATTAATTGACCAAATCTATTAATATAGTCAAGCAATAAAATTCCAATGGGTAATAATAAAAATGAACCACCAGAAGATAAAAAGGAAGCTTATGAATAGTTATCTTGTGGCATTGGACTGGGGATAGAAACACAGGGATGGAGAGATATTGCTTTAGATTATAAGCCTTATGCACATCTTTTTTTAATTATTTGCATGCATTTCTTTGAATAAAATCTGATATATAAAGACAGAGTTGATAATTAGAAGGAAAAGAAACCCAATGAGCTATGTGATCACATTAAAACAATTCAAATCAACAATGAAGTTTTGCTTAATCCTCCACTTTTAAATTATTCGCAAGGGCATTTTGACTCTCTAAAGTTTATAAACAGAATTCAAATCGCTCAGGCAGAAGTAATTTTCTGCTTTTAAGCCAAAGCCCTTACCAGCTAGAGAGTTGCCTCTAGGAATTAACCAGAACAAATCCTGATTAAACAACTAATTGGCTTGTCTACTAATGAAAAGAAAAATAAAATACATTTCTCAACCGCAAGATTCAGAGTCATAAGAACAAGTTTTCAGAACCAATTCAGAGAAGATGTTTAAATCACTGACAATGAAATCCAACAAGGTGATGCCAGGAGGAGGGAATGAAGAAAATAAACAAGGCTTCAATCCAGGAAATCAGTCTCAGCCATCCTGGAGACAGGTATGATTCCTGACATTTCTAAGTCAGTCTCGATTCTAATTATTTATTGTTTGCGTATGTGTCTTAGTATACTGTAATAGATAAGAATTCCCTACAGTTAAACTAATTACTATCTTGTTCACATGCTATTTATCTATGGAGTCTGTGCCCATTATTTTATATACAACATATATATTAGATATAAAAATATGATAAAGATTGGAAAACCTGTATAAAGGTTTGAAAATACTCCTCATTGCTGATTTTAACTCCTACCATCATCCAAAATGTAGTCTGTTGTGGATATTGGCAATATGATCTAGTTCCAACCAAAAAATGTCAACCACTCAGGTGTTAATAAGTGATATTTTAACAAACATTCATCTAGACAAAAAGCTTCCAATATGGAACCGTCTTGCCCCTTGGGAGAACTGGCAATGTCTGGAGATAAATTTGATTGTAACAGCTTTGGAGTAGGACTGTTCCTGGCATCCAGGGAGAAAGTTGGAAACGCTATTAAACATTCTAGAAAGGATGGGATAGACCTGGACAGCAGGCATTTACCACTTCAAAATTCCGGTCTTGCCAACCTAAAACAACCCTGATACTGACCAGTCTTAGATAAGTTTTAAGACTATCCATTTGAAGAATGAAGATAATATCTGCTTCATAGCTTTGTTATATAAACCCCAGATAGTATAATTAAAGCGCATAGTAGGGGTTTTCCAAATAATAGCTCTTATAATTATTACTATTATTAACTTATACTTAAGCTTGTGTGACATATTTAAGTCCAAAGTAATAATCATATAATCAATATTCACTTAAACTATCAAATAGACAATTTTCATGAATTACTAATTAGATTTACTTAAAAGAATTACAGAAAGTTTTCAGAGCAATAATTAATGATGGAAATATTTATGTACAACATCACAGCATGGTGTAAAAGCACTTCATCGAAGTCAAAATGCTTTATGAGGACTTTATAATATATGCGGGAATCTATACCTTTCTAGCCATTTAATCATTTTCCTATTAATAGCACTAAAATAACACAGCCTTGACTAATGCTTAATAACAATGAAGCTTAAGTTAAATCATCTGATTTACTGGTTATATGATAGTTTATATGATTATTTAAAATATTTTAGTCGTCCAGTGTCTGTGAATATCAAACTGTGCATCAATGCTTACAAGACCTAGATCTTGTCCCCACTTACCTCTCAAGATTCATTTCTTACATGCTTTTTTCCAACCATTTCTATGCCCATATATAATTGTGCCATAGGCTTTTTCTAATTATGCATTCACTGCCTAAAACATTTTTCACTTCTTGTCCATATGAAAGACCAAAAAATTCATCTTTGTAAAAATCAAGTCATTTCTTTTTAAATAGATCTTTTCCCTTCCCTTCAATTTCATTGCAATTGACCACTTTATCTTTATACCTCTCTCCTCTAAAAGCATCGTCTCATCACCCATAACATATTAGCATTAACGTTTTATGGTTTTATTCACTCTACTTGACTGTGAGCTTGGGGGCCAGCTTTTCTATATCCTAACCTCACTTTTCATCTTAAACATTCGCCAAGTCATACCCTCAAGTATACACTGGCCGAGTTCAGAGGAAAATGACTACATTTGAAAGGAATGATTAGGTGCTCAAATAAATAATGAGGTACAGGCAAATGAATTCATGAAGAAAAGAAAGAAGAAAAACGTGAATGAAGGGACAATACTGTTTTATTCTCTCCATCCCTTTAAATTCTACCACTGAACACCTACATCAAAATCAAAACTAGGCTAGGACTGTGGAAAATGTGGACCAGAATTGAGGTAAACATAAGCCTAGTAGACACAGCACCCACATTGAGAAAATATAGAACTTTATAGGTCTGAGATTACTATTCAACAGCAGTCAAAAATATTCATTAAAGTGTAATAATTATCATTTTAGTATATAATAAACAGAAGATTCATCCTATTGATTGGATTTGCAGTCATTTACATCATTAGAATCATTTATAATCACTGGAAAGTTATATTTGTACTAGATTCTTGTTGAAAATTCATCATGCAAAACTTATTCTTTTTGTTTATTTCATTTCTAAAAGGAAGAAAATGAAAATGAAAAGAAATACCTCAAAGTCAAGATGAATCAAGTCACATTTGCTGAGTCACACACCGAAGTACAAGGTCAGCACCCAAATATTCAGGGGGAAAAACTGAAAAGCAAAATAAAGTCTCTCTGAAATGTATTGTCTAATGAGGCACTTTTCCTTGAGCAGCTTAATTTATAGAACGCTAACTGAAGACATTTGAATATCTGAAAAATATTTCTTCATTTAGTCACATAAGCAAAAGACACTCATATCACCTACTACTGAGTCATTCATTAGTCTTCAGGCTAGAGATACAGTTGTGAAAAAATGGGTCAAATCTCTGATAGAATAAACACATAATGAGCAATCTTTCAAAATAGGGTTATGAAAACAGTGAACTAGATGTGGATTATTTAAGTGTTCAGCATTCTTACTGCTGTTCATCTCCCTTCAGATTCTTTCCCTGAAGAATCTCTTCTACCAACTACTGCACACATTTTGTTGTTGATGATTATAAATATATATGGTCACGGTCACGGTCCTCCCGTTGTTCATCGATTTGCTCGAGCGGGCCCAGTAACATCTCCATTGTGAGATGTCTTGTTACTGTGTTTGGCATATTGAATACATCACGGGTAGCTTGCCAGGCTTTGCCGTGTGGGCAAGATACTCTCGGTAGCTTGCTGGGCTCTCCGAGAGGGGCAAAGGAATCAAATCCGGCTTGGCTATATATATATATATATATATATATATGTATATATATATATATATATATATGTGTGTGTGTGTGTGTGTGTGTGTCCAAATTATTTTTAAGACTCCACCTAATAGTTTTCAAGTAACCAGTGGACCTGTATATTCATTGTGATCCCAAAGAAAGCATACCTAAAATGAATTCCTTATCTTCCTTTTCAAATAAGTCCCATCTCCAATTAAATATTATTCTGGTCCTATTATTTTGTCAGTCTCCCAAGCTCAAAATTTTCATCTTTTATTCTTCTATCTGGAAATAAAAGATAAGAATCACTCAATCTGATCTGTTGAGGAAATAACTCAGAATTCCTTATAATCGTCATTCTCAAAACTATTACATTTTTATTTCCACCAAAAATATCTTTGTTTAAGTCTTTTACTGTAACTCATGCCCCACTCTATGAATAGTGAGCTATGCTACTAGAATGTTCCTAACCAAAAGTGGTCACTGTCACTGTCACTGTCCTCCCGTTGTTAATCGATTTGCCCGAGCGGACCCAGTAACGCCTCCATTGTGAGACTTGTTGTTACTGTGTTTGGCATATCGAATACGTCACGGGGAGCTTGCCAGGCTTTGCATGGGGTCGAGGTACTCTCAGTAGCTTGCCGGGCTCTCCGAGAGGGGCAGAGGAATCGAACCTGGGCCAACCAGGTCAGCTGTGTGCAAGGCAAACACCTTACCCACTGTGCTATTTTAGTTAATAAAATAACTAAAATAATCTTTACTCCAATATAATCTTTACTCCAACACAAAGATTGGAGCTCTAATCTTTACTCCAATATAAATAGGGATTTACTTTATAGTAAATAACATTTTCATTGCAGGGAGGTTGGATTTTTTATTCAAGAGTTTTGTTTTAAGGTTAAGTGAAGTTGTATTGCCCTGCAACATTGTATAACTTCTAGGAGTATGTCTTTGAAAATCATTCCCTGTGTATACCTAAAACTATAATTCCGTCTATCATTCATTATAAACGTGAATTCTTTCTACCAATTCTTCACTCTCCTAAACCCTTCCATTTTGATAAACACTAATGGATCTTATAGCCTAGAAACACACTTTTGTTTTATCTAGTTCATCTCTTTGTTTTCTCTACATGCCTATAAGCAATATTAGATGGTTTTTCTCCGTTTATCTTATTTCAGTAAGTAAAATTGCCTCAAGGTCAATCCATGTTACTGAAAGTGGCAGTATTTTATTTTCTTAGGATATTATATACATATATAATAGAAATTGTATCCCATTGTATATCTTCATGCTAAATAAGCACTGAAACATAAATTTACATGGATATATGCATATACACAAATATATACATATCTATTACATCTATACAAATAGACCACATCCTTTTAATCTAACATCTGAATATATGCAATTAGATTATCACCAGTTATTGACAATTATAAGCTGTAATAAACATGGAGGTACACATATCCTTTTGAATTAGTGTTTTTCTAAATTTGATATTAATACTCAGAAGTGAAATAACTAGTTATTAAAGAATTTCTATTTTTTGTGGAATTTCTATTTTTAAAATTTTGATAATCTCCATACTGTTTTTCATGTTGGCTAAAGAATTTTATGTTCCCAATAGTGTATAAAATTCACTTCTTTCGATATCCTCTATAAAATGTGTTGTTTCTTGTCTTTTGGAAAATAGCCATTTTCACAGGTGTTTGATTTGCATTTACTGATAGTAAAGTTACTGTGTCTGGCATATCGAATACTCTCGGTAGCTTGCCGGGCTCTCCGAGAGGGGCGGAGGAATCGAACTCGGGTCGGCCATGTTGGCCGCTTGTAAGGTGAACGCCCTACCCGCTGTGCTATCGCTCATGAAAATTATTTCCATGTCTATTGGACATCAATGCATCTTATTTGGATAAATGTTCTTTCAAATCCTCTATTTTGAAATAGGTTGGGTTTTTGCTCTTTGGTTTTGCTTTTTTTGTAATGGAGTAAACACAAATCAACAAAGAACCAGTGCTACTGCTCAGATGTTACTCTGTGTTCAGGACTGACTCTTCAAGACTCTTGGAGAACCACAGATGATTCTGGGATCAAACTAGAGTCAGACAAATTAATGAAGTGATTTACCTCCAATACTGTCTCTTTGAACCCTATTTTGCGATACGGAAATATTTGCTTTATAAAATCTGTGTGGAATTTTTCGTCCTCTTCAATTTTATACCAGCCTTTAAGAAGTCTAAGTATTGATTGTTCCATGAAAGTTTGATAGAATTTACCAGTAAAGTCATCTGGCCCTGAGGTTTGGTTTGTTGGGTTTGGAGAGAGATGGGAGACAGTAACAAAAATGGTTTATTTTGATTACCTTTGATGGGTTTGCTCTTTTTCCTTCATGATTCAATCTTATAACACTGCATGTACCTAAGAATTTTCCCATTCAGTATAGAGTGTCCAACTTGTTGTCACATTATTCTTAATATTCTCATGATTCATGTATTTAGTGTCTGTTGTAATTTTTCTTTAGCTCAGCACTTTATGAGTTTGGAGAAAGTTTTACTGTGTATTTTCTTAATCTTTTCAAATAGTTCTACTTCATTAATTTTTTATTTATTTTGCTATTCTTTTGACTGCTTAAATTTTATTTTGTAACATATCTAATACCTTCAGCCCCACATATAATAGAGTGCATCTAGAGGAAAAAAGAAAGAAACCAAAAAAATGAAAGGTCTTTTAATAATGTTCTATGATAAACATGCAAAATAATTGAAAAGTTCTATTTTACAAAAGATAAGAATAAAAATTTCATTGTAAAAAAATTTTATTAATTTTTAGATTATTATCTGCATCTGATATTTAAATATTTCAACTCTAATTTTTATTATTTGATTCAATCTACGTGCTTTGGAGGTTTGTTTTCTAGTTCCTTTAAGTGCGACTTTGGTATTTGTGATTATTATCTGGGCAACTAAAAGGAATGTGTTTCCTGGTGTTCTGAGAAGGAATGTTGTATATACACACATATATAAATACACACACACACATATATATATATAGTTCATTTTATCTGTCATTGAAGGTCTTTGTTTCCTTAGTAGTTTTCTGTCTGAATGATTGGTTCTTGCTCTAAATAATAAAAAATATTATTGTATTGCTGTCAATATTTCCTTCAAGTTCTCTTAATATTTGCTTTAGATATTTTGAGCTCCATAATGCTCCATTTCTAAGTCTATGTATTAAAACTTCCATAAATTAAGATATGCAACAAAAGAAACTAATAAAATGTTTTCCTCTAACTTTTTATCATCAACTATAGGACATTACTCAATTTTCAGTTTCTTCAGAACTCAGGGTCCTGAAAATCATAGAAGAATTTTCATTACATACAATTAAATGTAGTTAATAAATAGAGTTGTTGACAGAGAAACACACTGGACTATAAACTATATTTTAAAAAAGAAAGATTAAAAAGGTGGGGGACACAAAGAGAAAGATCCCCCCAAAAAATAGGTGCCCAAGATTATGGTGTGGCTTAAGTGGTGTAACACATGTTGTGTGTGCAAGCCCATGTGTGTGCATGGGCTGAATCTCAGCACTATAACCACTCAAAGTTCTACAGGGAGAAGTCCAAAAGAAAAATAAGTAATAACTATTATCTAAAAAAACACAGAATGAACACAATGTTGATATTATCATGAAACTAAAACATTTTTCCTATGAGTTTTTTATAATAGTGATGATTTCCAGTTTACACTTGTCCCATAAAAATATGACCTTATTAAAATGAAGCTAAGGATCGTATCTTTTATACCAGAAGTTTTTTTTTATCATTGCTACATTTCTTTCAAAGTGTATTTGTAAGCTTAAATTTTTCACAGTGGCTAATAAAAACTCTTGTGACGGGTCCATTTAACAGAGGACTTATTTGAGTGGGAAGGAAAAATGGTTCAATTTAAATCTGCAGACTTAGCATGTCTTCAGGACTTTAATAAAGGTAACAGTAGAATTTAAGATATTTTGTCTTGGAAAGTAAAACTATTAGTCTTTAAAATAGCTTCCTACAAGTTCTGGGTAATTTCATGTTCTTCACTTCAAAACATGCAGGTGCAATGTCACAAAATGCTGATTTTTGTAGGAGAATTCTCTTCTGCGAAGCATGTTTTTTATCTGTCATGGAAATGAAGAGAATAAGACAATTTGGGTTCAAATAAAGGAAACTTACTGAAATCCTGTTTTGATTACAATCACCTTTCAAAAGCTTCCAGTTCATCTATAATAAATATTTCACGAGTATATGAGTTGAGACCAATAGAGGACTTACAAGTGACTCACCTAATGGCTTATTATACTGTAAGACTTGATTTATGTAGAAATGA